ATATCATTGTTCATTTTTATACAATGTTTGACTTCTCCTCTCAGGTGTTGTAAGGGTGTCTTTTTAATCATGTGTCTAAGTCAACAGTCGAGTTTGCTCTTCTCTCTCTTCAATTGAGGCAGAAACCTTGCCCTACCCAGAAGCACTAGAGAGATCTTGAGGAGACATCACATAGTTCCAACTTGGGCCAACTCCATTTTGGCATCTATTAGGGGTATTCTGCATCTTTTCATTCCCCTTACCTCACCCACCCATGCTTTCATCTCCTTTCCTTGTCCCTGCTCCTAAAAAACTGTGTCTTGGCCTTCATATGCCCTTTATTTACAAGGGGTGTTTTCATTTTCAAGTGCTCTCTTCTTTGCTCACTGACCTGAGAAGTTTGCCTAGGAATGTGAAGCTACTGACTTCCACTGTCACTGTAAAACTCCCTCCCACTGTAAAAACTGTTGTTCCTTGTAGCAACAATACTTCCCTTTGCTTGGTTTGAATTGGTTCATGGGTAGATACTCCAGCTGCCACCATTTTGGCCACCAGCTGTCTGGCCTGTCTGGCCATCCCACATGAACTCCTTTCCTCAAGAAGCAAGAGAGGGCCTCCCCAGTGGCGCAGTGGGTTGGGGCTGTCTGCAGCCTCTGCAGCCTCTGCAGTGCAGGTTCAATTCTGCAGTGCAGGTTCGATTCCCAGCTGGCTAGGGAGATACCCACATGGCGCGGCAGACCTCTCCTGTCTCGCCCGCTGCTCCCCTCAGCAGTGCTTTCAGTCCATCTACCTGTTCTGCTCCCTGCTCTGTCTCTGGTGAATCCTCTCACCCTCCCGCGCCTCTGGCATGTACCCCAGCTCTTGTATAAATAAATAAATCTTAAAAAAAAAGTTACTTAGATTTATTTAAAAAAAAAAAAAGAAGAAGAAGCGAGACCCAAGAGACAGCGAAGGTAGAGAGCAAACTGTGTTTGCTTTTCCCAGTCACATAGGAGGGAATTGAGGAGGTTGTAGATAATTTTGTACACAAAATTACCTTTATGGGAAATATGAGTTCCCATTACAAGGCACCCCTGCATCTCAACATCACGGTGAGGTAGCTGGTACATGCTGGTGCCAGCCGCTGTGGTGAATGGTCACAATTCCATTTGCCCTTTTACAATGCACTTTTCTTCTCTGTAGAATTTAGCCTCAGGCACTCTCATTGCAAGTGTCCTTGCACTTTTGCTGCCGCTTTGTGTTTTTAATTTGCTGAGCATGGAGGACATCAATGATGAAAGAAGTGTGAGGAGGAGAAAAGCATAAAACTGACTGATGCTGGAAGAGCATTTGTTCCCCGTCAGCCAAAGCCATCAGAAAAAATAGAAAGGATGAAAGGCATTTATGACTTCATGTTTAAAAGAAAACCATTTTGCCTCCCACCAGACACCAAGGTATCTTCACAGCAGAAAGTCCCTGTGGGCAATGCAAAAATCTCCATAACCAAACCTTTTGGAAGGTAACTGCATACCTTGGTTGCAGTCATTAAGTTGGAGCAAATCTAAGTCTTCTACTTGTATAAGTTTGGACAAGTTCTTTACTCTTTTTGACACTTAGTTTTCTCATCTGTAAAGTGAATGTAATTACTCCTTCACCTTCTCTCTAAGACTGTCATTAGGATTAAGTAACTTAATATCTATTTTATATGTAATGAAACATAACAGTTCCTGTACAGAATAAAAGCTCATTATCCAATCTCATTTATAATTCAGCTGATTTAATTAAAAACAGTACTGAAGGGCTTCCCTGGTGGCTCAGGTGGTTGAGCGCCGCACTATGAAGCTGTCTGCAGCCTCTGCAGTGTGGGTTTGATCCCGGCCAGCCGGTGAGAATCCCACATGGCGAAGCAGACCTCTCCTGTCTTGCCCGCTGCTCCCCTCAGCAGTGTATTTCATCAATCTGCCTGTTCTGTTCCCCGCTCTGTCTCCCATGAATCCTCTCACCCTCCCACACATCTGGCCTGTACCCCGATTCTTGTATAAAAATAAATGAATCTTTAAAAAAAAAAACAGTACTGAAAAGCAGAACATCATAAGGGATCTAACAACACAGTGTAATGACTTGAACTTGAATTTTAAATTTAAATCCTAGCTCCACCACTTGCTGCCTTTGTAAGTTTAAGTCAGTTACTTCACTTCTGAGAACCCTAGTTTCTCCCTCTGTAAAGCAAGCATGATAATACTCATTTGAAGGGTACAGTTCCATGGTTCTCAACCATCTTCTCATCACCCAAAAATTTTTTTTAATGTGTGAATACCCACATGCATCCCCAGAGAGTATAATTCAGTGGGTCCAAGGTGAACTTTGGACATTGTTACCTTTGAGAGCATCCTAAGGAGATTTTTTAAAGCCACCAGCATTGAGAACTGCTTCCTGGCAAATGAAATTAAGTAGTTTTGTTTTGTTTTGCTTTGTTTTTGTTTTCACCTCTGTCCCCAAGAGGCTGGACAGAGTATCAGGAGTTCTGGGCACACTGAAAAATTCAATATACCTGCAATTCTGAGCCGTTGATAAGAAATATGTGGCCAAGGAATTACATTCCCTTTTATTCTTAAAAAACATATTCAAAGAGTCTTTTTAGAGTCTTGAACTGGAAAGGTGGTAAGAAGTTTAGCCTAAGCCTCACACATAAAATATGGGAACTCCCAGTAGGTTAGGGATTTATATTAGGGGTAATTCCAGGGTTTTGTCCTCCCAAGAGATATAAATTGAGGCCTTGAGAGTTTAATGTGGGGGAGGAAGGGGTGTTCTCAGAATGACACCTTAAAAATCCAGAACTCTGTTAATGCCTAGGGATAGAAAAGCATCATCTATAATAGCAGGAGTGGCGGTGTCTATGCAGCAGGCCAGTCTATGCTGGTCTCAGTACTTCATTTTCCGAGATCCAAGACTAGGTCATCGAGAACCTTCTTTCTCCCCATAGGTTTATGGTATTAGTTACCCAATAAAAGTGGGGTTAATTTTACAACCCAAGTAAAGTTTAAGCCAAAAAGGCTTCAACATTACTCCAGGATTTATGAAAGTAAACATGTGGAGTGCTCACAGGATTTTGCAACATTAAAATTTCAATGTCTTTATGTCAGGTATATGATATATTCATTTGTACTCGTACTTAAAGGTTAAGTTTTTAAGAGCTTTGCAATACAAACTCTTTTCAGGACTACATTGAAGATACTTCCCCCATCTCTGCTTCAGTATGACTGTTTTAGTGAGTAGGAAACAGAAAGCCACTAAAAACGAGTGACCAACCCTATCATATTCCGCCCCCCCCCCCCAATTTCCTGTTATCTTGGACTTTCTAGACTTGCACACTGAGCCCCCAAGTGGGGGAGATAACACTGACCACAGTCCATCTTACAAAGTAGGAACTTAGTCAGATATTGTCCTTTAAATTAATGTGTTCTTTAGTAATTGCAAATACTTGAATAATAATCCTATGTGCCTCTGTGAAGCATTTTTAAAAAATTTTTGCATTTAATAGGCTTCTCGTGATTTTCACTTACAAGGTTGAGAGATCAATTATCTACATTTATAGAACAAAAAAAAAAAAAACATGTCTCAGAGGACTCAGAGTTTGCTAAGGCTACTCAAATGATACAAACAGAGAGATAATGTTGTTCTCCTAACTTTTGCCCTAAAATGCTTTTCAGAAGCAATGAGAAGTAGCCAGTGAGGAGAAATGACATTTCTTCAAATGATATGTGGATTTCAGCAAGCTCTGGGAGGAGGAGCATCCAGGGTGGAAGTCAACCTTATGTGGGCAGGTGGCTTTTTGTTTGGCTGTTGCCTCCCTTTGAGAAATAACTGGATATTCTGTACTCTGGTGTCTTGTGCTTATCAAGGCCCTGTGGAAGGTGAAAGCCTCTGTTCTTTCAAAGTAAACCTGACATCTTGTGCCCTCATCTCCAGCCACTTGCACATTGTCAGTAATCCCCTTACTTCCTGGTGTCCCTTATCTTTAGGGTAAGATCTCTATTCCTCCCCCACTTTATTATTAAAATTTCAAGCAGCAGGGCCTCCCTGGTGGCGCAGCGTGGTTGAGCGCTGGGCTGCAAAGCTGCCTGCAGCCTCTGCAGCGCTGGTTCGATCCCTGGTCCCCGGAGAGGGTCCCACATGGCGCGCAGATCTCTCCTGCCACGCACTGCTCCCCTCAGTGTACTTTGTCAGTCTGCCTGCTCTGCTACCCGCTCTGGCTCTGGTGAATTTTCTCACCCTCCCGCGCTTCTAACTGTACCCAGTGCTCACATAAATAAATAAATAAATCTTCTGAAAAAATAAATAAAATTTCAAGGCAGCAATATTTTAAAGGATTATTTTTATTTTTAATTATTTTAGAGGATCAAAATGTTTATTGACATCTTCTCTAGATTTCCTGGGAATTAGTGACTTGAAATTCTCCAGTTGATGGTTTGCCCTGGCCCTCTTTCTGCAGCGTAGAAATAATGGATCTTCAGTAGTCAGTAGCCATGTAACTGGACTGTCTTCTGGTTTCTTCCAGCTGCGCCCAGCATCTCACCCTGTGGAACCTCCTAGTTGACATATCAGTTGGAGTGGATCTTGTGCATAATGCACCCACGCCTTTGTAGCAAATGAAGTAGAAATAATCTGTGCTTCAAAAAACAAAACAAAAAACTGTAGAACGTGTGCCCAGATTTCCAACTCATTTCCTCTTTACTCTTACTACATCATCTTCCAGCCCACCACCAGCTGCGAAAATAAAAGTGTTTTCTCCCATATTTAAGGATGATTTTGTGCTTCAGGATGATTGGGGGGAAGGAGGCTGAGGGGGAGGTGGTGAAGGAAACTTGACCAACATGACCAACAGATGTTTTAAGTGAAGGATGGAAGTGAAGAGAAGCCTGATTCGTTAGCCCAGTCTTTAGGCTACTGTGCCCGACTACGCCCCCTAGTGACTTTTTAGGACATCGCACAGTCAGAACCAACTATGTACTGCAACAGCTAATGCTGTATTTTATTTTTAGAGATGAATATGAAGAAGATGGATTCTGCCAACCATACAGAGGGATTGCATGTGCCAGATTTATTGGCAACCGCACAGTCTACATGGAGTCTTTGCACATGCAGGGGGAAATAGAAAATCAGATCACAGGTAGGTAAAAATAAAAAATTATATTTGAACCTTGAAGAGCTATTTTTTCACCACAAGTTTTATTGAGTTCTTCTCTTGACATGGGATGAGAGTAAGCATAGAGGTTGGGAGCAGGACCATAAAGAAGCATGAGATAGGATCTCTGTGCTCTGGAATTTACATTAAAATAATTTATTGAAGGTTGCCCTTAGAGGAAAAGGAAGTTTTGAGAAGTCTCACATTCATTCAAACACTCAATAAATATTATTGAGTGCTTTGCACTTATCAGAAACTGGACTGGATGCTGAAGATATGATGGTGTGATGAGTAAGCCAGTATGTCTCTTCCCTCACAGAGTTTTTGGAAACATCACGTAGCCTGAAAGGAAATGAATTTAGAGTTTAGAATTCTGCCTATTGATCCCAGATTTACTATTGCTGTGACCTTGAGATCTCCGACTCTCCTTGAAAATCTCTTCATCTGAAATGAATGATAAAACAAGATGATCATAGGTCTCTTACAGACCTGGATTTCTGTATTTTACCCTTTGTTTTTCTGAATTGAAGGAATCTTTTTTTTTTTTTGTGGTTTTTTTTTTTTTAATAATAAATTTTATTTTTATATTCCCCATACAATTGCAGCCCCCCCATTCTGACCCCAATCCCTCCCCTCCCACCCCCGCCCCCCTAAAAGTGTCTCTGGTTCGTAGTTTTTTGTTGATTTTGATTTTCACTTTCTTATAGTTATTCGTTTTCCTGGTCCCTTATTTAAGTTTTCTAGATTCCTGCTATGAGTGAGACCATCCGGTATTTTTCTTTTTCATTTTGGCTTATTTCGCTGAGCATGATCCCTTCCAGTGCCATCCATGTTGCTGCAAATTGCATGTGTTTATCTTTTTTGAATGCTGAGTAATATTCCATGGTATATATGTACCACATCTTCTTGATCCAGTCATCTATTTTAGGGCATTTGGGTTGTTTCCAAAGCTTAGCTATTGTAAACAGTGCTGCTATAAACATAGGGGTGCAGGTGTTCTTTGGAATTGATGTTTCTGTGTCCTTTGGGTAAATACCTAGGAGTGGAATTGCTGGATCATATGGAAGCTCTATGTTTAGTAGGTCCAGAAATCTCCACACAGCTCTCCACAGTGGTTGGACCAGTTTGCACTCCCACCAACAGTGCAGAAGAGTTCTGAAGGAATCTTTTTAATGGAAATCTATTGGCAAATCATATTCTAGAACATGTGAGGTGTATTGGCAACCTTACACAATTTTGTAGTCTTAGTTCTGGTACTTACAGGAGTCTTGCATTTCTGAGGTTATCATGTCTCTGTTTCATGTGCCCTTGCAAGCCATTAAAACTGTCTTTATGAGATTCTAGTAAGTTTGCTGGATTTAGCATATAAGAAACTGGACATCTAGTTACATTCGAACTTCAAATAAACAACGGCCAAATTTTAATATACATCCCAAAAGTTTATCTGAAATTCAGATGGAACTGGGTGCCTTGTTGTTTAGCTGAAAATGCTAGGATTTAAAAGACAGGCAAGAAACCTAAGGCAGGCACACAGAACAACAGAAGGTCCAGACACCATGTCCAGAGGGGTCCAGAGACACCTATTTAACTTGGAGTAGCAACTTTAGGAAGATGTAGGTGCCATTTGCTGAATCCCTCATGCTTTTAGGAGGGAGGACTCTGTGAAATTCCAGAGAACAGAAGTAGGACTGATGGGAGGAGCTGTAAGCTCATGTAAAGACACTTTAGCTTACTTTTCACTGAGTAGTCACAAAAATAAGTGGAATTTCTGATATAAATATTTAGTAACCCATTTGTAATAATCCTCTCTTGGAGATTTTCAAAGGATATCCTCTTACTGGAAAGTTTTATAGTTAAAAAAAAAAATCCACTTATCTTTGTTTATCCAGCCTTTCCCAAACTTGTTTGGTTATGGAACACTGGGGACTAGTGTTCCACCACTAGTTTCCCAAACACTCTTAATATTCTATAGAATTAATGTTGTGAGGAATATGTTTTGGGAAGCAATGCACCCACAACCTAAGAGATTGCCTTGTGAGGGAGAAGCTCCCTGTTGATGGAGGTATGGAAAGGGAGGCTGGTGCTATTTTTGTCCCTGGAGACCATACTGGATTCAGGGTAGAGTAAGTGACCACTCACATTCTGTGATACACCCCAGAACAACTGAGTTGTGCTCTTTGAGAATTTTCAAGTGAGTCCCCTCACTTTCAGAAGATGGAATAGAAAGCAGTCAAGCTACAAAGGAATTAAACAAGTCATCCAGGACCTCCCCTGGTGGCGCAAGTGGTTGAGTGTCACGCTGTGAAGCTGTCCACAGCCTCTGCGGCACTGGTTCGATCCCGGCCAGCTGGTGAGGGTCCCACATGGTGCACCAGACCTCTCCTGTCACGCCCACTGCTCCCCTCAGCAGTAGCAATGTATCTCGTCTGCCTGTTCTGTTCCCCACTTTGTCTCTGGTGAATCCTCTCACCCTGCCACGCATCTGGCCTGTACCCCAGTTCTTGTATGAATAAATAAATAAATCTTTAAAAAAAAACAAAGAAGTCATCCAAAGACTGACAGCACTCAGAGGCAAGACACACATCCTGTGATCAGGTTCATCCATGCGAGTGAGTTCCACCCTGCAGCTGCCAACTGCTGTAGAAGCCTTACAAAATGAATAAAAAGTACCGGATGAAACCCAATGTTTTGTTGCTTTGTAGTAAAAATGAAAAATATATTGTGCTTTAACCTAATTGATTCTTTTTATTAGGAAATGGTACATATGTAATTTAATCCTGTTTTTAACTTTGTAGTCAAAATGATTTTTTTTCAACCCAGTGAAAGTAATCTGCTTAGACAACTGAAATGAATCTCCTTCTCTTGGCCATGTCTGTTTGAGCACAGCCAATCCCTTCCAATGTGTGCTTAGATCTCATATCTGTTGACTAGATAACTGGAGCAGATAAACCTTGGTCCCTGGGAGTTAATAATTGTGTTTGTTTTCCAGCTGCCTTCACCATGATCGGCACCTCCAGTCACTTATCTGATAAGTGTTCCCAGTTCGCCATTCCTTCCCTGTGCCACTATGCCTTCCCTTACTGTGATGAAACCTCATCCGTCCCAAAGCCCCGTGACTTGTGTCGCGATGAATGTGAAATCCTGGAGAATGTCCTGTGTCAAACAGAATACATATTTGCAAGATCAAATCCCATGATTCTGATGAGGCTCAAGTTGCCAAACTGTGAAGATCTCCCCCAGCCAGAGAGCCCAGAAGCTGCAAACTGTATCCGGATTGGAATTCCCATGGCGGATCCCATCAATAAAAGTAGGTGGTAGCCCCTGATCATCTTTGTTGCCTTGGGGCCCAGCATCCCCACAGCACAATAAAAAGTGTAAAATTATTCATATTGCTAGTCAGATTCCCTTCCAATGGGCTAAATACTTCTTGGGAGTAGAACATTTACTGGTGCATTAGATGAAAGTGTCTACCTTCAAGAAGATAACTTAAAAATAGGGTTGATGGTACCTCAATGACTGCACATAAAAAGTGCACATCCCTCATAATGCCACTGCTGGGTATGTAGTCAAAAGTAATGAAAATGGGTATTCAAACGAAAACTGGTATGCATGTGTTTATAACAATATTATTCACTATAGCTGAAAGATGGAGACAACTCAGATGTCCAACATTGGATGGATGGCTGGATGAGAAGGAATGAAGTTCTGATACTTGTTGCAACATGGGTGAATCTGGAAAACATTTTTTTAGTTATACACAGATCTTTATTTAAAATTCTGATCTTCTCAGCAGCTTTTTCTACCAACTTGGGGTGCAGAAACTTTAACAAGCATCATAATCCTTTGCTTAGTTTCTTCCTTTGTGGGAACCTTAAGTGAAAAAAGCCAGACATTATTCCATGATTCCATTTATATGAATAATCCAGAATAGACAAACCAATAGACAGAAAGCAGATTAGGGTTGCCATGGGCAAGGTGCAGGGGGCAGTAGGAAGTGACTGCCTAATGGGATGGGGGTCCTTTCAGGACAAGAGATTCAAGCATTCTAGAAGTCAAGGGTGGTAAAGATTGCACAATACTGAGAATGTAATAAATGCACTAATGATAGATTTTATGGTGTGTATTATACCACAATTTATATGTATACTCGCCTCCATCCTTTATTCTCTCACCACCACCAAACAAAAGACTGTTCCTTTGTACATTTGCCATTCATCGAATTAAACTGACTGGTAATTTTTTTTTATTTCCTTTGGTAACTAATACTATATTATGAAATAATTGAATGCATCTGAAATGCTTAGAATTGTGCTTAGCATATGGTCTTTACTATTATTCCTGTCATCACTACCCCTCCAAATTCCAATTTATTTCAACTCAATAGATGCTACAGTGCTTTCGAGTAGTGTGGTCACCTAGGAGGAGGACATAACTGGACCTCCTTCTCAAGGGTGTTCTGTCCATCAGTGCATAGATGGCCCAAATAAACATTTCCTATGAACTACCAAATTAGATTTTTTATCACATGATTCATGCTCTAAGGCATCAAAAGAAATGGAAAGTACAGTTGGCCTGAACCTTCCCTGAACAATTCACTAGGAAATGACTCCTGTGCCCACAGGTCCCACCCCAGTTCTGATTTTTTCTGTGTTCAATATTAAAAATACTTGCAGGGGGACTGGTTTTATTCTGAAGCATAAGCTTTAAATCCTCCCAGGAATGTAACTGCCTACATCCAGCCAAAGCTGGGGGACTGCCCCCGCTGGTCCCTGATCAGCAGGGAGGTCTTGGCCATGAGGGTAATTGCACATCCTTCCAGAAACTGCTGCCTGGGAGCTCCAGCATCTCCTCTGTTTTTCAAAGTTTGGGATTTTCTTTTTGTGTTTTTCAGATCACAAGTGCTATAACAGTACAGGTGTGGATTACCGGGGGACAGTCAGTGTGACCAAATCAGGGCGCCAGTGCCAACCATGGAATTCCCAGTACCCCCACACGCACACCTTCACAGGCCTCCGTTTCCCAGAGCTGAATGGAGGCCATTCCTACTGCCGCAACCCAGGCAATCAGAAGGAAGCACCCTGGTGCTTTACCTTGGATGAAAACTTTAAGTCTGAAATGTGTGACATCCCTGCATGTGGTAAGTCTCCAGGCATTTCCTTAAATATATTTAATCACTTTTACAGATGCCCACCCTTTAGGAGAATCAGGAGAGTAAAGGAGATTGCCAGTATTTGTTCTCAAGCTGTGTTTCTAGGGTAAATAGACTTGCTGTTTCTACATAAAATACCTTGTAGGAAAGGAACGCATGCATTCAAGAAGTGAACTTACCTTTATACCTGCCTCCATTGAATTAGTGGGTGTAATAGGTACCCATCTCTGCAGAAGCAGAGGAGAAACTGCTTGTCATTCATGTAAAGATGTTATTCATAATGGTCCATGTCCAAATGCACTGTTTTAGCACAACAGGTATATTGGAAGCAGAAAGATAACTGTTTTCCCTATGTCCTTGAAATACCCATCAAGCGGAATGAAACTATAGCAATTACCCAGTCTTCTGTGAAAATCTGTGGATGAATTGTATCCTCATCTCATCCTTTTATGCTGCAGAAGAAATATGGGAAGAAAATGAAATTCCTCAATCAGTTTGTGCCCCCCTCTATAAAATGTTTAGAGGTCAGGAGAAAGAGATTGAAGATGTTGGTAAAACCTGGAGTGTGGGACAGTTTTGGCATCAGTCCATCTTAGTGCCCATAGACAATATCAAGTGGACTTCCCAGGCATAATGTGGGAATCAGGATGTTACTGTTGGGAAAGCCACAACAGTAAAATGAAAATAATAATAATGATGTGAGCCCATGGCTTGTTGTGAGAATAAGTGAGTCATTAAATGAAAAACTCTATGCTTTCCAGAACACAGTAAATGTTTAATAAATATTGTCTATTATAATTTTAGATAAAGAAATGCTAGTTCTCAGTTTAGCAAATATTGTTTGATGGCTCACTATGGAGAAGGGGGTTAAAAGAAGAATGAAAGTGGTCATGATACAATAGCATGCAACAGAAATTAGCTCAAATGTTATGGAACACCAAAGAGGCATCTAAATATATACTAAAGAGGTCCAAAGCAATACAAATAAATTATTAATAAGAGCACTTAGTGATGAAAAGTTGGAAAACTATTATTCTACTACTGCATCCTTACATTTTGCATGTTACCAAACTCTTTCCCTGCAAAATGGCTTTATGGATGGTTAAACAGGACAAGATTCAGAGGTGACTGGACCTATTTTGTATTACTGGGCTTTAAAATGCCTTCATATGCAACACAAACATATCTCTACCAGAAACACTACTGGTAACTTCAAAGCCTATATTTTTAAATAACTTGCACTTAATAATTTATGACTTTTCCCCATGTCATACTCAACAGTAGAAGGAAAAGAATAAAATGAAATGTTGATTCATTTACTTAATTGCCCCCTCTCCTTAACTCAGTCTGGTGTGACAATCTGCATAATAGAGCCAGGGATAAAAGCAACATTTTCTGAGCACCTTGCACATGCCAGGCTCAGTGCTTGTGGGTTTTGTAGGTTTTGTTTATATTCACCTACCTGTTGTGGCAGGTATAATTAACCTGTGCTATGACAAAGAAACTGAGGCTTAGAGAGCCTCAAATTCACCCAGCTGGGAAATGGCAGTCATGTCTGATGCACAACTTTGGCTCTTGTTACGGGGCTGGCTCAGGGCACTGATGTGTTCTTTAAGGAGATCAGGTGAATTATGTTAAGGAGGGAATACATTACTCACTCCACTCGGAGAATCCTGTTGTACTTAGGTGGCTTCTAACCCTTAATTTTCAACCAATGTTCATCAGAAGTAGGGTGGTAACGTACTTATAAACTGAAAGATTTGCTGATAATCTGATCCAAGCTTAATTACAATGAATTTATGTCTAAATAATTTTTTTAAGTACTGGTTTTCATTTCAATGTGCTTCCTGAACAGTCAGACAAAACGCACATTCTGAGGGGTGAAAGAAGCCCAACTGGCCTTTCAGACCATGAAGAAAGAAAGCAATCACCCCAACTACAAGATCCTCATGATATCACATTCTTCACATATTCATCTTCATTTAAAACACATAACCAGGGCCTCCCCTGGTGGCCAGGCAGTTGAGCTCAGCACTGTGAAGCTGTCCGCAGCCTCTGCAGCGCAGATTGGGTGCCAGCCCACCAGCGAGAATCCCACATGGCGCAGCAGACCTCTCCTGTCTCGCCCGCTGCTCCCCTCAGCAGTGTATTTCAGTCACTCTGCCTGTTCTGTTCTCTGCTTTGTCTCTGGTGAATCCTCTCACCCTCCCACGCATCTGGCCTATACCCCAGTTCTTGTATGCATGAATAAATAAATCTTAAAAAATAAATAAATAAAATAAAAAATAAAAATAAAACACACAACCACACAGTGAGGATGGTGTTACTGACATATTCCACTGAGTTTAGAGGGACTAAAGACCTGTCTAAATCATGCAACTAATGAGATTGGACCTTGAACCCTTCTCTATCTATAATTAACTATATTCAAAGTCGGTGCTGTTTTTCTGCACACTCTGCTATCTCTTATTTAAAGAATTATCAGAAATAAATACAAGAATGACATTAGATTCCACCTCTGGATTCCAGTACAGTGATTTCTGTAATGTGCTATGATGCCAAAACACATTCCCTGACCATTGAAGACATCCATCATAGTATTACTAGTATTGTGATCTTGGAAACCCTCAGAAGGTTTCTAGATCTAAATATCAATCTGCAGAGGACACGGTTAAAATTTGGAAGACTGGTTAGTTCTGGCATGTAAGAGATAAATTTAGATGAAAGTTAAGTCTAGAGATGACAAGGCAGTTTTCACCACTTGCCATAATAATTTTTAAAAACAACATTTTCATTTCATTTTGAAAGAAAACAGTTCCTCTTAAATTCATCAGTCCAAGCCACAAATACATCCATTAAAGGAGTAGGGGATCCTTGACATGTGAGCAATAAAAAACTGCTGAGAGGCCAGTGGCTCCCTGATGTGAGAATTAAAGAAGAGAGCAGGTCAGCATCCGCTGTTGTTCCCAGGCAAGGCTTCTCATAATCACCCCTCCACAACCCACCTCTAACAAAACAATCATTATAGAAGGCTTTATTACACTTCCTCAGAGCATTGATTGTATTTGGTCTTACTTCATCCTTACAAAAACCATGAAAGATAAAGTTTCTTTCATTATGTTACCATAGGAGAAAACCCATAGGAGAAGTCATAGGACTTACCCAACATCACAAATTCGTTAATAGAAATTAGGTCTCCTAACTCAGAGCCACTCACTGCTTTTTGTCCTACACCAGTGGTTCTCAAACAGGAAGGAAATTTTTGCCTTCTAGGGAACATTTAGCAATGTTCAGAGATATTTTGGTTGTCAAAATGGGTTGGAGTAAGGAGATGCTATTGGTATCTACTACATAGAGACCAGGCATGCTGCTCAGTATCCTACAATGCACAAAACAACCTGCACAAAGATTATCCAGCCCAAAATGCCAGTGGTGCCAGGGCTGAGAAGCTCTGAGACTGAATAGAAATTTTATAATTTGGGCTACAGAATATAGCATAGCATATTGTACATATTGTATAAATTATAATATTTAGACTATAGAGTAACAATAATATAAAATAGTGTTTGACATTTATTGAGTATTCACAATGAGTAAAAGACTATACTAGAGATTTATATGTATTACTCCATATAAAATAGTTCTGTATGCATGAGTTGGATTTTATTTTTCCCAATGAAAGAAATTAACACATAGAGTTAAGGCCAAGGCCACATGGTTTAATAAGAAATGTACCCAGGACTCAAACATATAGCTAGTGTCTTAAACTCTATGAGCTATATATGTGAGTGTGTATGTATTTTTGTGTATAGACAGGTAGGTAGGTAGGTAGGTAGGTAGGTAGGTAGATAGATAGATAGATAGATAGATAGATAGATAGATAGATAGATAGATGATTAGAATAACTTTTTGTCTTACAATTAACTGTAAGCTTGTGGGGCAGATTTGAAATGAGATCTTTTCCTCAAATGGGATGGAGTCTCCTGGGAATGTTCCTGCATTTTTTAGTCAGTCAAAGTTAAAGAGATTTCAAAATCTCTGTGGGGTTTCTCATTTTCCTACTGATAACTTCTGTTTTTGTTTCAACTAAGTAAGGTTAAAGGAAGTATAGGCCTAATTAAATGCAGAATGTGAGCATTTGTTATACTTTCTAGAATAAAGACACTTGAGAACATTCTGCTACAGATTGTTTTATCCATGCACTTTCACTCTAAGACAGAAAATACAATTAAGCACAACGAAATATGTTGGCTGTGAATTGTGGGAATTGGCTCAACTAGGACTGTGTGCATGGGCAGTGTTTGCAAAAAGTGAAAGAAAGGACAAAAGACAGATTGGTAAAGACTGTCCTTTGGTATCCCAGACAATTAGAATGGTTATTTTTTATTGAAATAACTCACTGAAACCAATATGTGTTGAGCTTCTACCATATTTCATACTTTGTGAATGAGCTCAATCAGGCCATGCCCTCTTGTAACTTACAAACTGGTAGAAGAATCAGACAAAATAATTACAAATTGCATTAAGCTCTGTTGTATCATTCTCGGCATTTATGTGTACCATTACATGCTTTGCCTTTTCACGGTGACTGCTATTCATTGAATATTCTGCTGCTCTTTACACCAGTATCTGACCTAAGACTTTATTGATGCTGCATGAAATGCATTGCATTAATTAACCCTCACAATAATCACAACATGAAGGTATCATTTCCATTTTAGTGATAGAGAAATTGAGGCATTGTTTTACTGAAGCCAAGACTCAAGCCAGGTCTATGGGTCCTCTAGCCACCATGCTATAGCTGCTTAGAGAACAAATTCTAAATTATTCAAAGGAATAAACATTCCTTTACCATTTTCCTCTTCCCTTTGATCTTCATGAATTCTCTAGGTCTTTGGCACCCTGTCCACTAATTTTCTCACTCGGCTCCATGGATGCAGGAATGGAGCCCCTAGCCACAAAGACATCTGCTCTGAGAGACCCCAAGGTGCTCCACTTAGTCTCAGCACTGATATGGATTAGCCCCAACATCTCCCCCTCGGCCTCATCGTGTTTTCCCTTTTCCTGTTAAGTAAGTCCCAGCTCTCTTCCCTTCCCGGCAGTACTGGGTCCCCAGTCCTCAGAGTTGGCCATCTTCCCTGAGATCCTGTCTGCAAATCTACATTCACTATGCTTTCACCTCCTAGTCCCTGTGGCCACCTTCCAAGTCAAATATTGTGGGTTGGGTGGAAATGAAGTTGAAAAAGAAACATTTGCCTATGTTCTTTCCAACTGGCACCTAGGCACACCTCCCAGGTTCACAGTTGCACTGCAGCCCTTATCATTGCTTTCCTGCACAGCTCTAGGGCAGAATTGTGGAAAATGCCTGTTTCTCTGGGAGCTCCTTTTTCAATAGACTGGTTATTTTACTTTGAGTAGATTCTACCACAGGACATGTCCTTTCACTCTCCCC